TAGAATAAAAGTCTTTTGTGTCTCTCTACCCTATTTTAGTCGCTGCACAGCTCCTGAGGAATTTGTAAGGCAGTGTAAATTAAAACTGTGGTCGGCATGTCTAAATTATCTGCAGTACAATACTCTCAAATGCTCCATGTATCAACTTATGCAGCTGCAACAGATCAGCTTGTACCACTGATGCGATTTTACCATCAATGGAATGGCAGAATATGCATGCTTTGGTGGGGTTTTCTTCTTTCTGCCTGCAGGGAGAGCACTAGCTAGCTATCAGAGATGATAAAAAACACACACACATTTAAGATCATGACTCTTGAGTGTGTGCAGTCGACATAAAGGACTACTTTACATTCTGTGGTAAAGCATACTTGTAGTCCACCACTAAATAAGCACAACAACTCAACCCCGGGTGTCTGTTGACCAGTTTCCCACCATGCAATCTGTTTCACAAAGGATGATTTTTGTTGTTGTTACTGCCAGCACTGCTAGTGCCGTTATGAGTGAGAGAGGGTGACTTGAAAATCTCTTGAACAACGATCCTAAAAACAAAATGCCATTGTGAACAAGAATCGGAAACATTTACGGCTTTAATCTTGACGTTTGGACCTGTGACATCATCTTCCTAATTGAGATAAGTGAGCAATCAGCTAGCACACTTGGCAATCATTTAGGTGTTACAACCTAATGCTCAATAGATTGTATGAGATGATCTTTAATAATGATGCATGTTAAACAATACACAAATAGAGTCACAAAGTTACCATGGAGATCTTGCACACGATACATAGATGTACATCTCTGTACAGCAGACATTTTAACTTGTCATAGTAGGAAAATCAGAAGTATTACAACATTTACAATGGCTCCTATTAGGCCGTGACAGTGAACACCAAGACCCCAAAAGCAGCTAAATGGAATTGAGCCTTAATTCATTGTACTGTTTAAACTAGTTTTTTTTCCTACTGTGACAAGTCAACATGTCTTCTGTGGAAAAAAAGGGCCTATATTAATGACTGTACTGGTTGATTTGTTGAAGCCCCTACTCATCCATGTGTACAGCTACGCAGGTGTTTTGAGTTAATTTGCCTGATTGGATGTCTTCTCGGGATGGTGTGGGTGTCAACGCTCAGCTGGATTGACTTCTTCTTGACCCTTCATTTAGCTTTGCTGCACCTGTCGGGTTGGTACAGCGGTAAAAAAAAAGAAGTGTTCTCACAGTAGGGTTGTTGATATGTTAAAATGTCTTTCCTTCTGAATTCAAGTTTCCCTCTTTCATCGAACTAAGACTTGCCGCATCGTACGGTAAAACCCACTTCATTCAAACTGGACAGAAACAAATTAACAATTAAAAAAATCACCAAAACCATCTTGGTAAGTGTTTCCGCTATTTCAACAATAGCAACAACCCTTAATTCACTGAGTAAGATGTGAAATATGCCGTTTCGACACGCTGGTTTCCCCGCTGTGCAGTGCACTTAGCTTTAGCCCCTTGCCAGCTGCTCGCTGTGCAGCGGCTCGCACTCATTCTTCCGAGGCAGACCATTTCATTAGCAAAATAAAATGACATAAATCGCCCCCCAAAAAAACAACCGGCGGTAGACTCAACATTTCGCCGATAGCCGATACATTCGTCCGATCAACCAGCATCATCTCAGTATGGTGACCTCAACAAAGTGCTAGCATAGCTCCACCCAACTTTAACTAAACATGGATCCAATGAGCCAAAGTAAATGAAAACACACGCGAAGGTGTGCAGGGACATTAATAGAATACTTTCTTAATACCAAATCAGGCATTTTTGAGTATTCCAACATTGTGAATAAGGCTGTGCCTGATTTGGCTCTGACAGCATGTACAGTGCTTATTGTTGAAAACCTTGAGACCTGTGGCAAACAGGTTGTGGACGAATGCCCAGCAAATCAATGGGGAAGGGTGTGGGGGGGTTGTCTCAGTTACAAAACTGACAGACATTGTGCATCATTAGTGTGTGTTTGTGTATGTGTGTGTGTGTGTGTGTGTGCGCGTCATGATAGTGTGTGTTGCTGTGCTCCTTGGGAGTGCTAGCAGGCCAACTGAAGAGAGAAGGAGAAGCAGCACTGCTCTGCACCATATGCCAAATATGAGCCTGCCTGCCAAGTTGTGGGGGATACTGGCAAGTGCTAGCAAGGCTGAATTCTTGACAGAGGGAGATGAATAATTGAACATGCGCGGAGCGAAGTTCTGTTGGGATAGATCGGGGTGGCTTTATACGCGGAGAAGGGGAATGGAGACGCTGCTTATGAGCAAAACTCTCATTTAGTGATGTGCTCTTAGTAAACAAGTCAAAAAGTTGCAGGGAATTTAAAGATTAACTTGAATGGATTTATGGCGAGACACATAGGCATTTTTGCATTTTGATGTTTACAACTATATCCATAGAGGCCAAAAGCCGTCATCAAGCTTACAAGTTTGCAGAGAAACCCGAGAAAATCAATATACATCCAAAAAAAATGAGGACTGTTTGAAGAAAAATCAGTACAGCTTAATCAATTGAGTGGAGGCAACTTTTCAAACGGGGTATGTGTTTATATTGAAGTTGTAATAATTTAGCAGATGCTTCAATCGAGATCAGCCTGCAGCAAATGCAGCAGAAACATTTGACAGGCTCTAATACTTCTGAGACCTTACACCTCTTAACATTTGTCCAACCCAGTCTCCTGACAACAGATATTGCTAATTATTTAAACAAGAGAACATATTGTTAGTCCATATGTTTAAAGCAGGTGTGTACACTATACATGACTGCAAGCAAAACAGGTGCAAGAAAATTAGCAGATCTAACTAAGAAATGTTGTTTAGCGCAGCGCCACACAACATAGCTGTTGTGTGGGAAACTATTCATAACAGCTTTCAAGTGGTGATTGCGTGTAGCTTATGAGGCATTTTCCCATATGTTGGATTTTATGTCATCCTTTTGAGGAGTCTCTCATCATTCAGCAAATCCACTAAACATCTCCTGACATCACACCGTAGAATCCTCCTTGTGCTTTGACTAAGAGTAAAACAGGACTAAGAGTCTACCACCAGCAGATCTGTGAGGCTGCATTCAGACACAGTGGTGCTTCCAGCGAACTGCTAGCGTCAGCATGCTAATACATTTGCTCACAATGACAATGTTGACACGCTGATGATTAGCAGGTTTAATGTTTTCCATGTATGCGAGTTAGTGTGTTGGCATGCTAACATCCGCTAATTAGCATGAACCACAAAGTGTATCTGAGGCTGATAGGTCAGGTACAAATGTGACCTAATGGTGGTGCTGCACCAACGATATTACAATCATGAGTGGATCAATGTATGCACTAAATGTAGTTGATACATTTTACACAAAGCCATATCAACCTGATATTGGTGCTGGTCAGTAGGATCATATTGACGACAGAAGGCATGGTTGACAATGGTTTTTCCTAGGCAGATATCAAGGCTATTTCAATTAACTTACTATCAAAACTTACATGTTATGAAAATAATCTCCACAATCTGAGCCTTTGCTGTTTAGAGATGTTTCTGGTGGAGCGGCATGTCCGCCCCGCTGAGTCCTGTATTACAAACCAGTTTGCCTTTGTCTTGTTTCCATGGATCTGACGCCTTGTATCTCCTTTCGTCATATGCCTGCTCACTAAAACTTTGCTGTATTGTGAAAGTAGAAATATGTTCAATACAAGATGTTCTTTCACAAAAAGGCTAAGTCGTCTATGCTGGCATGTCACCGGTGTGTGACACAGCTCACCCCCCCCCCCCCCCCCCCCCCCCCCCCCCCCCCCCCCGCCGCTGGCGCGCCCC